GCAGTGGAAATTGGAGGAAATCATGAAAGAGAGGAATGAGGTGACCTTTACCTGCCAGAGTCTCCCAGACCAAACTCGTACATCTGACCAGTAAAGCATCGGGTTTATGGTTTAAAAATACGTTGAATGGAATGCATCTGAGGTTTGTAAATAATGAGGAAGAAAACGATGAGTAGACGGCAGACCTCCAAGGTTAGCTTAATTTGCGGTATATGAGTTCAGTCTGATTTTCCATCACCTACGAGACGAGTGAAAGTGAATTGAAGCTGAAAGGCATGCATATCGGCTGAAGGATGGATTAACACAGCAATTATATTCGTTCGGTTCAGTGATTCAGCTGCCAAAAACAACCCTAAATCACTCCTCAAGTAAAGTCGCTGAAGAACTTCCTTGTTCACCAGGTTCTACGTTTCTTCTTTCACTGCTGTGCATATGGACTGTACAAATTTCTTGTGTACAGATGTATGTATAATCTGGGTGGTTGATATGAAATGTTTCTGTAGATTTCTAAACTCTGAGAAAACAATCAGCATATTTGCCGATTTAAATAAACCAATAACTAACGAGTGATTATTAATTCACGTTGCCTACCGACGGTAAATCTGGAATGGCTAATTCCATCTTTTAGAAACATTAACTAAGACGCAGGCTCTCAATCCTTAGGTACGTTTTATAGCACTAAAGACAGAAATCTTCGCAGCAATGCTTTATTCTTTCTAGTGTTTCGAGAAGGCAACCAGCCTCACGTTCAAAAAATGAATTACCAAGGGAGTAATTACTCATATGGATGCTTTTCACCGCTAATACTTTAAATCAATTAAGGATGTAGTTCACTACAACAACATATTGCTGAAAAACTGGAATACCAGATTTCGTTATAAAGGGTTCCCTTGTGCAACCACAAGGTAGGATCAGATCTGGTAGTCTGTTGATTCGCAGTAACTCTAAAGGTCCATTTTTAACAATGTCTGAGTTTCGACACTTAAATTAACATAATTTTTACAGAGAGCTTTCTTAAAATCAATTTTTACTTTGCATGTTACTTTGAGAATTTGTACAGCGCTACCGCGTCCGCTACTCTTCTTCATAAGTCCATAGTAAGTTCCGTTGCAGGGCAGAAACTGAAGTGACAAGAGGTGATCGAATGACTTACCATGTCCACTAGGCGGCGGCTATGGAAGTCAGAGAACGGAGTCGGTCGGTCGCTAAGCCCGAATGGATGTCGCTGCGGTGGAGACTGAGGTCACCGAGGTGCAGAGCGCGATTCGAACGGATCGGATGAAGCCGAGGGCGCAGAACAGAAACGACAGAAAGACGTGTTGTTTCGTCAGTGATCGCTAGGCCGTCACTCGTACTCGCACTCGCAGTCGCTGACGCTTGTCTGTGAGAAGGGAGGCAAGAGCAGAGAGGCAGGTTTCACTCGAGAGTAACAGCGCGACGATCAGAGGACGAAAATAGCCCGCCCGGTCGGTGAGGGATGATGGCGAACGAACGGCAGTCGGTCGACTCGAGGCGCGCTGAGGAACAGGAGGTTGCGACGAGGCTTCCGGAATGCGTCGATGGTTCGTGCAGCGGCTGAGGACGCAGTTGGTTCCGCCTTCGCTCGCAGGCCTGTGGACGAACTACGAGTTCCAAGTAAATATCTTTAGCAACAGCTGACGAGGGAGCTCGTGCAAGCGCCGCCGAGGTGAAAACAACAGCAGCGGCGAACAACGACGGACCTCGTTGCACTTTTGTCACGTGGCGATTATCCTCTTGATTCGGAGGCACGTTTCGAGAGAAATCAAAATCATATGTGACTGCTCACGGAACTACCAATTAAAAATAAGCGTTCAAACTGCAAGCACGTGATCATCGTTGTTTAACGTCGATGAAGATGTCCACCGTTGCGAACAAAACTACCCTCAAATTTAAACTCAATCCACTCAGCTGTAGAAATGTCTGTGAGTTGAGGTGAAACACGCAGTAATGGTTTACTACCTTCATTATGCAATAATCAGTTGGTAGTTTGTTAAATCATACAAAACTCCTCCAAGGTTAGATTTCACAGCATACATCGCAACTGGTTGTCTTATAGTATTTAAACACGCCATGGCTTGTGGTATTTGCTCAACAGACATGCAAGACACACTTCGCAACAGGAGCAAAAGTCTGTTCTGCTTTGGTAGGTACCTGCCATTTTTGATTATGTACAACTACACTTTGTGAAGCGTTTCAAATAAGGCTTATTTTGACTATCTTAAAATGACAGGAGGGGAACAATGAGTTCTCAAGACGATGTATAACAGATTATAGACTCAAGCAAGTGTTCAACCGTGCTGATGAAGTTTGAAAATTGTTTCCTAGCAAATGAAGGAGGCAACACTCGCCAGTCAGCCTGGTCAGGGCGCGACAGGTAACGGCCAAATCCTTTGATGACTGTCTGTGAGGAGGCAGCAGTCATTCAGGCATGAAGGCAGAAGGTGCTGAGAATATCCGAACAAGAATTTAGCAAAATCAAGCTGGACATTGAAATTCAGCACGGTTACACGTAAAGGTGAGCTGCTGGAGCTTGACAACAGGCACCTGATGATCGGCAAACGGAAAAACAGGGGCTGGGTTCATTATCCACAGAAGATCAATGAACAATGTAATACACTTCACAGAGGTGTGCAAGACTGGTTCTAAGAGTTGAGAGTTTCTAACTCTGAGTAACCCATGCATATGCACCGGCAACAGGCCATCCTGAAGAACAGTTGGCAGCTTTGTAAGAAGAAATTGGAGTGCTTTACAAGTTGGTGACTTCAATGTCAAAGTCTGACTGCACAAATGAATGTCTCGTGGGTCGATTTGGTTACTAAGAAAGAAACGACAGGCATAACTGACTAGTGAAGTTTCCAGAAAAGAAATTCTTTATTATGATCACGTTTTTTTTGTTATAATAAACAGACCATGCAAACGTTGGATGTAAAACGTCGAAACAACGTCAGGAATGAAATCGATCTCACCCTCAAATAAATGTAGCACACATTGAAGGCCGTCGCGGTGCTACACGTTTTCAATTCCTCGTGCGATTACTGGACTCGGCATTAGAAAGAATAAATTAATGAACGCAAGGCGCCAGGTACTCGACGTAAAAGCAGTAGAGTATAATCGACCTCTATTCCCTCTCAGTTTAAATGACTGATTCGACATACTTCACGAAATACAAGAAAAGAAAAAGAAGCGGAAGAAGCAGTGAATATCACCGTAATATGTTAGAGCGTAATTACAGAAACAGTGGAAAGCATCTGTAGAATAAGGCCAATGAAGTACAAGCAAAGAATCACGAAGGAAACGGAAGAACTCTTCAAGAAACGAAGAGAAATGAAGACAACTACAGACCAGAAATCGAAGATCAGATGAAACTGTTGAAAACGATCAAATCATAAAGAAATTAAATCAGGGATTGCCGATGGCAGAACAACAAAAAATAGCTATCAGAGCAAACAACCGGACCTTCATCACTCACAGACAAAAGTTACAAATGTGAGTGAAAAATTCCAGTAGAAAAAACGTACAAAAATGAATGCAGCAACCTCGACAAATAAATGAAGTCTATGATATCAAAGAGGTCTTGCCAGAACAGGTGTGACATGCAGCAAAAAGGAGAAACGAGGAAGAGCTCCCACCAACAACGGCATTACAGTGGAACCAGTGGAACATTGACCAAGACACTAATGCAGTTCCTTCACGCCGTCTGAAACAACTAAAACGACTCTATTCTTCCCCATTAAAGGGAAGAGAGGATCTTAAAAATTACAGCTTGACCAGTTTGTTGCCAATCATCCACCAGACCTTGATGAAAAACTTTGCTCTGCTTAGCCAAAGGAACAGAAACATTAGAGTGATTTCCAAGAGCGAATGAATCGCCTATTGAAAGACCTCCAAATTGATAGTAGCATGAGTTGAGGAAGTTCCATCAATCAGGTTGTATAAATATTGCGGAAAACAGAATTCCATGGCAAAGTGTTGATGAAGGCTTCTTCCAGCGATAGACCGAAAACGCTGATGGTGATGATACGTTAAAGTTGCTCAATGCCGTATAGTATGCCTCCCTTGATCGAGGCAAGCTATTGCCATATATCCATGGAAATCGTTCAGAACGAAGAATGCTACGCTTGGACTGGTAATTGAGGTAATTGAGGATTATGGTGATAGTAACACCGACCTGTCTATGAAACAAATACTAGGGTTACAAGTTTGCAACAAAACGCTGTGATCCACCATAATTTCAAAGCTGCATCTGTGACCCTGTCAACACTTTGAACAAACGACGACAAAGAAATTGGTGTAGCAAACATTTGCTAAGAGTAACGAAGTGAACGGAAGTGCATTTGAATGAAAGCATTCGTTGTGTCTAAATGAAACGTGACAGAACTGGCATGGTGATTCAGTGCTTTAAGATTTACCGCAGTATTTGAACTGATATCAGCCAAATCTGAACATATGCTATATCACGAGACTCGATAAGTTGACCAAATAATTGCCAATGGATGGCGACCTGGCATGTCTACCAAAAATCACCGTTTGCTAAACACATCGATATCCGTAGGTCAGCTACAGTGCAGCGCTCCTTTGATCCGCCCGCCACTAGTAACAGTTGATTCTAATATCTCTAGTGGAACCGACCCATTGACCCGTTTTGGCACCAGATGAATCGGACGGTTTTATGACCTTTGCAAATAATGTCTCTCATGCCTCTGCTATTCGTCAAACATGCCTTTGTCACCACGGTACACCTGACCGATACCAGGACTAAGGCAGGCGATAGCGAAAATGGGGCTGTCACATTGTCCCGAGGTCATCAGTCCCGTTTCGTCCAATGATATTTGACTCTGATTACTGACCATCGAGGTCAGCATCTTCCCAGCGCAGAACAGCGAAAATCGTCGACACAGTACTGTCGAAGCGGTCGTCGAATCAACCTATGCATTCGTCAGCCATGAAGTGGTATTCGCTTCTGCTGCTATGTCTGCTAGCAAGACAACATGCTGCCCAAGAATCTTCTGAAGAACACCGTCAGAGTTCTGATTCATCATCAGAGGAAGAAACTACTCTGGAAACTCATGGGTTAAAGGACGATTTTCTGGAGGTATGTTACAGTAATGCTAATTCATAAATTACAAGATTTTCCTTTCAGAAACACCCCGTATACAAAGAGATCATCCAGCGCGGTATAATGAATATGACCCGGGTGATGAAGCTGAGAAAACTGTTGAAACTCATATTAATCATTAAATGGATGAATATGACAGGCAAAGTTCCAGATATTGTATGTACATATTTCCGTTTACCCTTGTTCTTACTACGTCATATGTAGGATAAATTACCTCCGGGAAGACTCGACCATTTGCGGGATCTTTTTGAGGGCGACATGTTGCTGACCGGCGCGCAATCGGCTTGGCTTCTCAAAATGATCAAAAATAATTACGGACTGAATGAAACCGAACCGTTAGACGACAGTGAAGAGTTAAGTTTTGCACGCAAAACAAAAGTTTAATATTTGCGCTTAATAACTTTTCATACATATTTTCCTAATAATTGATCATATTAATTTCCTAATAATAGCAACAATCAGGAGGTCGCTTGCACTCTCACTAAAGGTTGGGGTGACTGGGTCGGTAATAAACTGAACTCACAGTCGTAAGATCACGTAGTCAAAGCGAGATCAGATAATCTGAAATTCCATCCTTCAATGTTACATAAGCGAGTAAGAGCTTTTCTGAAAATGTTATAAAGG